TTTCGGGCTAATCGAACTAGCCTCTCACTATCCCGCTGGTTGGATGGAGGGGAGGGGGCTGATCTCGTTCCACGTCCTGGCACGGTTCCTGGAGCTGGCGAGCGCCTTTCTGGAACGCGCTGTTCTGATGCCCAGAAGACAGGTGACGCTCTCCCTATTACACCGTGCTACATCAGTTGGCCTGGACGCAAACGCTGCGGCGCATCTTTGTGTGCCTCGATGCACATAGCATGGCGCCTGGCTTGTTCACAGCTACGACCCTTTGGTATTATCGCTGCTTCCTCCGCCTCCGGCATTTCGTAAATATATCATCATCTGGTATCATGTTGCATATCCGCATCGCATTTCTATTTTACATATGCTTTATATTCGCTGCATCGCAATGCACGCACTGAAATTATTAGTTTGCTTAGGGCTGTAATCTTTCTGCATATGGTCTGTATCTCATACATGGACAGAAATGCCATTTTCGGGGTGGCTGCTCTTGCGCCAACCTCTTGCATCAACCACCTAATGTCGATGGTGACTTGGAAATGTTGCATGTCGATGCCACGCTTTCAATATGTGGCCAATTTCAGAGAGTTAAAGGCCCAGAATGCCCGGAAATCATGCCCAGAAGCTGCCAAATTTTAAAGTAAACGTCAAACTTAGCACGTGCATACATGTAAGTGACCAATACAGTGGTGGCACATCACGTGACATTTATACTCGAATGGCGGGCAATTGAGCCGAGAATATGCCCTTTGCATACACCATGCTAAGATATTTCAAATCCAGCAAGTACAGCTCGCATTCCAACACGCAGAACGCTTCCAGAAGCCGGATTTGAGTATCTGGAAAACTGGATGAGTATCAGAAGCCCACAAACAACACTAGCGCCATTTATAAACCAGGTATTGGTAACAGTGCTGCTATCTAGGTCAGCGTTGCAACGCCAGTGCAAAACGACTTGTAATACAAAGCTAAGGTCCTGGGCTTCAAAAGCACACCTGGCGTACGAGAGAACACACGTTTTGCCTGATGCTGAAATCGTCTCATCAGTCTCTATCTTCTCAGTCTGCCCAAGGGCTGCCTCTGAAAAAGACCCTTCCCTATGGGCTTACAATACTGTGACTGGTGCGCGCACCCTGCGGTGACGTCACGGCGGGGTTGCCAGATAAACTTTGAGGGGCCCCGGTGATCTACGGACCGCGACCGTAGCCGCCGCGGTGTCGCGCCTGCTCTGTGTCTCCTTCCCTGCGATGAGTTTGGTCTGGACCCGGAGAACGTCCTCAGAGCAGCCACATTTCGCAACGCAAGGTGCAGCCACTGGAAACTGAACAAGTCCTCTGCGCTCTTCCGCATCCGCAACAAATGGTTCCAGCATGTCACCGTGTTAAGCTTCAAGCCAATGATTTGAGCCCCCTCCCTGGTTGCGGTCCACTAAGGTCCACTCTGTGTCGTACAACCGACTTAACGCCAGACTCAGCCAGAAATACCACCAGGTAACCATGGTATACATCATTCCCACCCAAGGCAGCCCAATTTTGTTTGATAATTTCCTTAAAATGGGACCTACAGGCCAAAACGTCCTCCCAAAATCCAGAACACCGCATAGTAAGGTAAAACAAGGTGAAAAGACATGCGTGTTGCCCTGCAAACATCTACGCTTCATTTCTAACCCTCAGCCGTCCTAGCATAAGACCGGTCACTGGTCTACGAACGGTCCGATACTGACTCCGTCACTTGCTGGTACAAGCCTGCCCGCAGCGGGGCCGTAAAATGTTGCCCATTGGCGATGTGGTGGCTCCCGCTTCTCGTCTCCGCGGCCAGGCCGCGTCTGGACAACGCTGATCACTTGCGGTAAAGGACAGCGGGTCGTATGTCATGGTGCACTCTCGCGTGGCGTGCCGACGACTACGGCGGTGAGATTATCGCAGAGGAGCCATGGCGCCACCGGGACGCCCACGTAAATGCGGTACGGAGGTCACATCAGCGCACAGGAGCCGTGGACGGGGGGAGGGTCAAAGCAGCGCACAGGAGCCGTGGACGGGGGGAGGGTAACAGCAGCGCACAGGAGTCGTGGACGGGGGGGGGGGGCACACCAGCGCACAGGCGCCGTGGACGGGGGGTCACGCCAGCGCAAAGGCGCCGTGGACGTTGGGTCACACCAGCGCACAGACGCTGTGGATGGTGGTCACACCAGCGCACAGGGGCCGTGGACGACGGTCACGCCAGCGCACAGAAGCCATGGACGGCGGTCACGCCAGCGCACAGGAACCGTGCACGGATAGGTCACACCAGCGTACAGGCGCCGTGGACGGGGGTCACGCCAGCGCACAGGTGCCGCAGACGGTGGTCACGCGGTCACGCCAGCGCACAGGATCCGTGGACGGCGGTCACTCCAGCGCACAGGAGCCGTGGACGGCGGTCACACCAGCGCACAGGAGCCGTGGAACTGTGGTCATCGGCGACATGCTGTGGGAAGAGGGTGGGAATGGAGCGCTCACGACTTAGGATCACGATCTCATAAGTGGGAGCAGGCTTACGTCGATTGTGTTTCAGCGGAATCGATTCCAGCTTTGATTCCCGACGCATGTAGTTGATTCTTATCCTGACTTCGAGCAACGCAGCGCAACGTTGTGTCAACTCTCATTCCAACTCCACGAGACGTGACCCAATTCAGCGATCGATTCTGAATGAATCGAGTCGAGTGGCAACGTATAAGAGGGGAAAACTCCCTTTATACCTTTCACTTGAGTACAAAGATAACATTTAGCTTGATAACAACGCAAATCTGAGTCTTTGTCGGAGAACCTGAACTGAGCCATCGCCCCTAGGCACTTATACGATCGGCGCAGTCGCTGGAGCTCCATAGACGGGTCCACAACGTGCGGCACACTCCTCCAAAGCAGGGACATACTGGAGGCGTGATGCAGCCCAATACCGGTAGGCCGCGTCACACTAGCACATGGCGCCTGCAGCCGATCGACGGCTGATATTATCATATGTGATTTGATTTGAATGATACATCTCACCATATTTGACTTCATCTGAATTACATATTGCATATTTCGGTCACCAGCAATATGCTGGGCCCATAGTGCTGGCTAGCTGGAGGCAGTTCACGTCTGCCTGGGCCAGAGCACCCGCGACCGTGGCCCGCTGGGAGGCCACACATACAGAACTCACAATATTTTGGTCATGGGCAGTGTACTGGATGCTTACATGTCTGATGTACAATCAGTGATGCATATGTTGGCACCTGGCTCAATGCAGAGGCAATGATGGTTCCATGCTGGCAGGTTCTTGTTGGTATACAATGAACCAGTGCTAGTTCTTGTCAGGCCAATCCTTGCATGTTGAGGGGCTGTGGTATCCCCAAACATTCCAAGCATCATGGTCTTGGGACTAGCACCAGCAATGTCATACATCCTTGGGTCTTGTGCCAAGAATGACTAATGCTCAAGTGTTCAAGTCAACCTCTTGAGTGTTTTACTTGGCACATTAGGAGGCAACATGCCATGGCAGCACCTATATATGTGGGTACCACTTCATAGCACCACCTGTATCTGTAGCCACCATGTTGGAGCAAAATGTGCAATGTAATTATGTCCAGCCTACGTCAAAAATACTTCAGGTAGGACCGGTCCTTTATTATGGAAAGTAGTTGCATGACTTCACTGATCTCGGCTGATCAGCTGTCAATTGTTAACCACTGTTGCAGCCACATGTTTCCAACATGTTTCCAACATGCTTGTTTTCCATGTTAGCTCTTAATTCATACAAAATCTTGTCTATGCTCTTTCACAGATCCTGAGAAGGCTGTTGGTACCTGAGCATGACAGCCATTAGAAATGCTTGTCATTTTCCCTTCCTCCATGGGAGCTATGATTTTCCTGAGCATGCCAGACTCTGCTGATGACTAATAAAGTTTGGATAGCATTTTTCAAGGACAAAAACTTGGGCTAAAATTATTCATACCTCTGGAGAAATTGATCATTTGGCAAATTTACTATTCACAGAACAGCATCAGTTGTACCAATGCCCTGCTCTACACTACAAATATTTAATATTTATTCAAATTTATTAATCAGTCTAAGAGGACCAAATGTTGTCAAGCTATGGTTGATCTCTCTATTACACACCCTTCTGTCTTACATACTAGTGAAAGGGTTAACCATGTATTTCCAAGATTTATGAAGCCTTACTTAAAATTTTGGCTGGAAGGACTGCCTGAATGGACTGCCTGAACTGAAGGGAGAACTGCATTCAGAAAGAGGCATGATTAGGGTCATCAATCACAGCAAACATAAAACTTTATACCTGACTTACCATACTGTCTCAGACTTGCTGAGTTTCTACCTGTCCTCTTACCCATCCTCATGACACAAACATGAATGGAGGCACAATGTTTACAGAAGAGCAGAATTTGAACACACCTTAACATGTCAAGACCTTTGTCCTAGCATGGCAATTGTGAGGGCCCTAACCCAATCATTGATGAGTGTCCTTGCTGCTATGGGCCAAAACGCAAACTACTCACATATTCACACTTGGCCATGTGGTCAAAACCCTTACAAATGCCTACCGTTAACAATAAGGTGCATCTATTTGAAGGACTGTACGATATCAAAGAAATTAAGCACACGCCATGGTTACATCCACCGAGTCAACATCGTTGCACACATACCCCTAAAAACATCGTAAAACTACCGACCGATGTGAAGGACTGTAGCTTACGGGATTCAACTTACCAGTTAGCCGTGCAGATGTTGGTAACTAGGCCAACGTAGGAGAACTCACACGAGAATCCCCGCCAGTCCGCCTAACAGTTCCACTAATCGGGAGGGGCAGTATAGGACCAAAGAAATATACATGCTTCTGCAATCCAGATTGCATAGAGCCGCAGTAAACGAAAGCCACTTGCTCTGGAGCATGACTTTTTCCCTAGCATGAAAAGCTTTGGGAATAGTTTGTCGTACAAGCGCGATGATTGTCTTCAGCTTGGGAGTCTTGGAGAGTTTTCCGTAAATACGTCTCGTGCGGGTGTCGGTGTCCTGAAAGATTGTGATTAGCGATTGGCTTAAGTGTCACATATTGGTATTTCCGGATCAGCGACTGAGGAGGTTGTATATTTAAGTTCTGCGGTTACATTCGGTTATAATGGGTTAGAGTGGGGTAAGACAGAAGTTGTCTGTTACGGTGTCCTCTACATGGCGAGCGAATGACCTACTTTGCAAAGGTGTGTATGCATTATTTTTTATCCTCTTGGTCTGCTTCGGACTGTGGAAGTTGCTGTAATGTATAGATGTTAAGTTATTCATTATGGGAGGTGCATAATGGTCCTGGCATGCCATGACATTCCTGCTTGCATATGTATTAAGCTTAGGATGGGTCTCAAAGTTTATGTTGTCATCTCATTAGAGTTTAAACAACTATAGGTCTTCCCTGTATGCTGCCATGTAACATGCAGTATGGTGTACTGGATTTCTTGTTCATGGAGGTAATATTAATGTCACTTATGTATTTAGCTAGATGGTTTGATAGGAAGATAATTTCTCAAGTTTGGTGAGTATCCAGCAATGAATTCTCCATGTTGTGAATTGTACTGTTGTTTTTGCACTCTTGTAGTTGTGCATACTGCTCTACACATACATGCTTACATTTTGGGTGTGTTCAAGTATGATGACATATTTAAAATATAAAGATATTTGCCAGCCCTCATATTACATCAGGTTTTGTATATGTGAGCTGTACAGTTCCTGCTAATTAAATTTGATCATCATGGCATCTTTACTTTTTCTTCTCATGATTTGTCTGTTGCTCTTGCATCATCCAAGTTCTGGTTAACATGTCTGCTGCACATGACCACTGTGTGCAGTGCTAGTATGCACAAATGGTGCTTTCATTACCTTATTCTGCTTAAGTCATTATGTTTCAATACTTGACATTAAGGATGCTCTTTCACTAAAAGTGCACCCTTAAACAGCTGCTTAAGCTTGCTATTCAGAACCAGTGATGTATTTTTCCATGTCCTAATATGATGATATCATGGAGATCATGATATTCTATCCTCTGCCATTTTTTTTCAGAAACTATAAGGCCTTCACCCTGTGTACTCAGTTGTTTCATCAACTGAAGATGGTAAGTTGTGATATGCTGTGTATGCCATTCATTCTTTCTATATTGGTATGCAAAGCTTATATTGGCAATGTAGATAGGGCTGGATAACAACTTTTTGACAATTTGTCCATCTATAAATGTTTTCTGATAAAGGAATCAATGATAGTATATCATGCTTTTATGCAGGCATGTCAGGTCTATTTGCAGCCAATACTTTTATTTAGTTAATATTGTGTAGATCATGTAGTTCAAATTGCAAATGAGAACTTACAGCATGCTCAATGTAAGAAATTGGTCTTTCCTGTTTTTGCTGTTTCCAAAAATCAATGGGAGATAAAATTCTTCAGAATTTTTGGGATGCACAACCCTTTGTTTATCTTGAGTGAATTGTATTTAAGGCTTGTTGATTGGTGGTATGTGTCACATGTTAGTCAATGTAAAGTACTTGTTATTTTTTATATCTGATTCACACTTTTTCGTGAAACAAATGCCATGCTCTGTTGAAAAGTAGCCTATTTTAATATTTGTTTTTATCAACATCGACAGCCAGGGATGCTGTGATGATCCTTTTTCCTGATTTTGCATGCACTAATTTGTCCTACTCTGCATTTGAAGTGCCGAGAACCTATGCACAAGATATGCTGCATTTGCCAATCCTTTAAGCCACCCTTTTTACATGATTGCTGCAGCTACACATGTTGGTAGTGCACCAGGTGATGACTTTTATCCACACTCTTCAATGCTGATTTTTTTTTGTCTATCTTTGATGATTTTTGCTACTGACCACAGTTTGCGAGCCCCAAGATCATTGTTAATCACAGACTACCATTCAAGGTAATGTTCTATGTTGGCAGTGCCAGGCAATGCTCCAGCCCATTCCAGCACTCTGCAAGGTCATCCTAGGGAATCATCTGACTAAATGGATCCCATGCCAGAGAATGCCATATTTTAGTTGTGTCCTTGTTCTAATGGCTCTGTCATGTTCCCCAGGGAGCAAATGCTTCCCAGTTGGAGAAGGAGATAGGATCTGACCAGTTTCCCATCAATGAGCACTACTTTGGCCTGGTGAATGTAAGTACCTGCTGTCCCATTGTTTTTCTATATTCACCTCCCAGCAGCCTGTAATTTTGACACTGCTGCTCACTGATGATTGTGAGAACTATGAACATCCTGAACTGCACTCTATATTTCATTGGTCTTTAGTAAAAACTGATGAATGGTTCTTTTATGCATGACCATGTGTGACATGCTTTGCAAAAAAGTAGCATCATGAACCATGATATTTTACTATAATAAACCATTGCCCACCCCTTTCCCAGGTATGCCTTGCAGCTGCCTGTCCATGGGTGATCTGTTTTATTGTTTGTAGAGCAGCTGCCAGAGTGTGTATTGTCAGTTTTCCAAGATGTGTCCTTCTTCTGATGTTTTGTTATGTAATGATGATTGTCATAGTAAATGTCATAAAAGATGCATCTAGAGGGTAATGCAGAGGTAGTGAGAAATTGGGTGTCAACTGCATGGCTACCCATTGCCAGTGTACTGACCTGGTGACCACCTTCCAGTTTGGCAACACATGCTACAGCAACTCAGTCCTGCAGGCCTTGTACTTCTGCCGGCCCTTCCGAGAGAAGGTGCTCGAGTACAAAGCCAGGAACAAACGTACCAAGGAGACGCTGCTCACATGTCTAGCTGACCTGTTCTACAACATTGCAACACAGAAGAAAAAGGTGTGCGATCATTTAATGTTGCAGATTTGGATCTTACAGTTCATACAATTTGGAATCATGTTAGTTTTCTCAGTGTAAGCCAACATTTTCCTTCTGCTCGTATGATATCGCCAATTGTGATACTTGCTGCTCAACATGACGAACCCTGAAAGGGTTTCATTCTGGTGTTGCCGGAGAAATCCAGCGAGCTAGGTTTCTGAGTTGATGCTTGTGGCGTACGCAGTATGTGATACTTGCCGACGCATTTGACTATGGGTCGCAATAATCTGAGCATTTGACGTGGGGCGCAGGTTGGGACAATAGCACCAAAGAAGTTCATTGCCCGTCTGCGAAAAGAGAAAGAGGAGTTTGATAACTACATGCAGCAAGATGCTCACGAGTTCCTCAACTTCCTCATCAACAACATCAACGAAATTATCCTTGGTAAGTGTATTTGTGATGACTTCGTGACGGGTGTGTGTTGAGTGACTCGTTTGCGGTGGTCGTGCATTGTTACCACGGGGGAATACCGGTCAAGGGTAGACTGTGCCGCATCACTCTGCTTTGAGTGGGTCGGGTAAGCCTGTGGCCAGCCCAGCACGGAGCTCTTCAAGGCCCGGACTGTGGCACGTGCGGGACAATATGCGGCATGACCAACAATGCGAGCGGACTCTGTTGAACGGCTTCACTCCCACCAAGTCTGTGTACACGAGTACCATCGCCAGATGGTACAGTAGCTACGTGATCCGAGAAACTGTTGCACGGCGTGAGGCCAATGGCGTCGGTGTCCGTTGGCTTAAAAATGTTTGCTATCGCCTGTTTCGAGAAAACCAGTGAAATTTACGTCACTTCCGTGTAAACCACTGCTTAACATTTACTTATCCGTGTTAAGTGTGCAACACACAGGGTATTGCTTGCTTGTTTTCTCATCGTGTATGTATTCGGGTCTTCCGTGCCGCAGTCGTCTGGGGCCGTGGCGAAGTGGGCGTTCCCGGACGACTTGCTGACCTATGCGCGCTGGCCCGGGTTGGCTGCACAGTGACCACGTGTCCGCACCGCTCCTGGCCGCCTGTTGGCGGGCGCGTGCGCGCAGGCAAACGTCCCTGGGTGGTTACCACATAGTGGTCAGCTGGTCTGTGTGTCGTGCGCCATTGGGGCTTTACGACGCACTCGCCTTCTGAGGCGATATGGCGTCGTTTGCTTCTCATTGTGACAGGAAGGTTGGGGCCGCGGAAGATTGAACTCCGTACCTCTATGCTCCTAAAAGCTTAGTGGTTAACGCTGACGCGTTAACCACTGTGCAAACGCGTTAACCACACCACTACCGGCACCCTCGGTCTGTGTCTCGTGCCGGGCGTCGACTGTACGGTGGCCGCGTGTCCGCAGCGGAGCGTGCCACACCGGTGACGAACGGCAAGGGTCGACCGAGTGACTCGGAGGGCAGCTCCTCGCTGCAGCAGGAGCCCACCTGGGTGCACGAAATATTCCAAGGCATACTCACCTCGGAGACGCGCTGTCTCAACTGCGAAACGGTACGGCGTGCTTCACTGTAGGCTTCGTTCGGATGTTTGGGCCGAGTGACGGCTGAATGACCGCGAAGATGTAAAGGTAACGGTTCAGAAGGTTTTGAAACGGTAAGCAATTTAATGATTAAGACCGTGCGGTGGATTTAGATAATTTCGTCGAATGGTTCTGTGATGTCTCATGGTGATGACTTGGCCAGCTGGAGCCCGTGCACATCGCACTGGTCTCAGCGCCGCCGCACGTGCAGTGCGGTTCCGTCTTTGGCCTGAGCGGATCGCACGTCTAAACCGTCGCTGACCATCGCAACATCCTTTGGCAGATCAGCAGCAAGGACGAGGACTTCTTCGACCTGCAGGTGGACGTCGACCAGAACACCAGCATCAGCCACTGTCTGTTGCGCTTCAGCGAGTCGGAGACGCTCTGTGGAGACAACAAGTTCAAGTGTGACGTCTGCTGCTCATACCAGGAGGCGCAGGTACGCTGCAGGCGATGTGCCCACAAAACCCAAATGTCGTCATCGGCCTATCCTTGTCAGGTTTGTGTGGCTCGAGGAGAGATTACTTGTCCGTTTCTAGTAGGCGACACTGGATGGAGCCAACTCATTAGGTCAGCTCGACCAGTGTACCCTGGCCCTCGTTTGCTTCACGCTTTCATCATGCCACTCGATAGCAATGCGACTGCAAATAAAGATATGGTGCATGTATAAATTAGTGAACTTAATCATGGTATTGCTACGTGAAAAGATGTTTGGTCACCCAACCCGTAATAGTGGCCAAAGCGGACATTACTTATTTTCTCTGAGGATGCCAAGAGCTCACCATTTTACGATCCATACGTTTGAGCGCGTTTTGGCTTTTGCTGCTGTTGGTTGTGGTCTTTGGCATTTTATCACGATGCACACACGCACATCACCTGCTCCATTCGACTGAGTCCTCTCACGTTACGCAACATCAGCATCACAGCTCCATACTCGTCATGTGACATGGATTCGTAACATTTACATCCAGTCCGCAGCGGGTCACGACGTATGTGTGATGGATACGGTTAACTAAACGAGAGAGGCCATGCCGTGTCACGTGATGGCCGTCGTCCGCCGCTACTGAAGCCAAGGCCGAGATCGGCACGCTCACCGATCCGCTCCTCCGCTGCAGAAACGAATGCGCGTGAAGAAGTCGCCGACCATTCTGGCCCTGCACTTGAAGCGGTTTAAGTACATGGAGCAGTACAACCGACACATCAAAGTATCACATCGTGTCGTCTTTCCCCTGGAGCTGCGGTTATTCAACGTGGTACGTGCTCGCGGCGGCAGGCCGGGCACCTCCCGGCTACCGATCCGGGATGTATCGCACAGACGTCCAGCTAGCTCGCGCGGTGCTGTTCGCTGGTGGTGAATGGCTGTGGCGTTGGTGAATGGTGTGATGGCGTTATCGTGCGTAATGCAGTACCAGCCTAAAGGTGAACCCCACTTGTTCGACCATGTTTGCATGAGACGTAACAGGGTTCGCGTGTTCTTCCCCCCAATACCCTGGCTCGTCATTGGAAGGTATGATGGTGTTTTTTTCTGTTGCCCAAGTTAGGTCAACCATCGAAGTAATATAAAGATCATTTGATTTTCTCCTTTTTGCGATATTCCCGTCATCGTGTGGTTCCCGTTTTACGTACACTGTAGGCGTCTTCATGTTACACGTCTGTGACGTATATGCATGCGTAGCTGCAGAGTGCATTGATGCCCATGCCCATGAATGCAGCCATTGTTCGCCTTTGCCTTGTGTTGGACTGGGACGCGGCAAGCGCCTATGTTCACCGCTGGTGCTTCACCTGGCGTTCACTGATGACGCCGGCGTCTCACCGGTGGCCTTGTCCCGTGACCACCGTCGGGACGATGCAGTGACACCGGACCGGCTGAGTGACCTGGTGAAGGCAGTGTTCCTTTGGTGACCTGCGATCCCGCGGATCTCCTCAGTCTGATGACGTGGTGACGCCAGACCGCCTGTATGACCTGGTGGCGGTGGTGGTTCACTGCGGTTCGGGACCCAACCGGGGCCACTACATCTCCATAGTGAAGTCGCACGGCTTCTGGCTACTCTTCGATGACGACGTGGTGGACGTAAGTGTCATACTCAACTGAAGGGAAGAAGTACCTTACATTTGCATGGCTGTCATCGCTGGCGAACCAGTCACGTCTTCACATTAATTCTGCTGTGTGGTGCATATGTTGGGCTTTGCCGCATTCTCCAAACGCCATTGCGGAATGCCTGCTGTGAGCGCCAGGTGTGTCGTGGTCTGTGACACCAGGCGCGTGTCTGTCCGGGGCGTCGCCGCCGGTGCTGTCCGTGACACCAGGTGCGGGTCTGTCCGGGGCGCCGCCGCCGGTGCTGTCTGTGACACCAGGTGTGGGTGTGTCCGGGGCGCCGCCGCCGGTGCTGTCTGTGACACCAGGTGTGGGTCTGTCCGGGGCGCCGCCGCCGGTGCTGTCTGTGACACCAGGTGTGGGTGTGTCCGGGGCGCCGCCGCCGGTGCTGTCCGTGACACCAGGTGCGGGTCTGTCTGGGCCCCGCCGCCGGCGCTGTCTGTGACGCCAGTCCCACTCCCGGCAGAAAATCGACCCGTCGACGATCGAAGACTTCTTCGGCCTGACGTCAGACATTCAGAAGTCGTCCGAGACGGGCTACATCCTGTTCTACCAGTCGAGGGACGCCGCTTGAGGCGCCGGCGCGCTCCGCCGCCTCTCTTGCTCATGTTTTCTACCGGCGACGGCGGTCGGCCGGATGGCTGGGCGGCGTCGTCCGACCTGGCCCGGGAGTTGTTTTCAGACGTTGATCATGCCATATGTTTATTTTGAAATTTAGCTTTGTTTAAGAGGCGAAGTGTGCCACCGTGGCTGGTGGTGCTCGGCCCGCGGCGCCGCTGGTCGTGAGGTGCCGTCGCTGTTGACGCCGTCGCTGGGCCCGGCTGGGATCGCCGGTGCCGACGGTGCCCGGATCGCACTCGGCGGCGGCCGCGGGCTGCGCCCAGCACGCAGAAGTGTGGGCAAGTCTCAGGAATCGTGTTACGCTGGCCGCAGGAGAGCTGGGGCGTCTTAACCTCCGGGAGCGGGCGACGGCGAGTCACGCATGTCTGCGATCTTGGCATGACTGGAGCAAAGTTGACCTCGGTGTTCAGCGCCCTCGGGTGGCCGATACTTCGATTGTCAGGCGGTCTCTGCTGAACTTGACTCCCCGGGTCGGATGGTCTCGAGCTACCCTGCCCTCTCTGATCATGGCTGGTCTTGTTCAACTGAGGGCGTGTCGCGCTCTGTGCCCGACGCAGGGTGCAGCGCTCGCTCGTCCTGCACCGCGCCGCGCTGTGGGTGTGGGTGTGGGTGTGTGACGTCACCGCCGACAGGGCGGCCGGCGGGAGTGTGCCGGTCATGCGTGGCGTCTGCGACCTCTGCCTGCACAGTGCGACACGATGCGACGGAGCGTTGGAGGTCTATCTCGAGGCTGTTTGAGGGTTGGTTTGTTTTGTATTAACGCGGTGATTGGTGGCCATCTGTTCGACGGAACTAATTCTCCAGCGGCTCGACGGTGGTCCCTTGCCGCTCTGCGTGCGGTAGAAATGTATATATCTAGATGCCGGAAGGAGGTTGTTACATCGATGTGGCGTGGGGTGAGGCGTGGTATACATCGACGCAGCGTGTTCGCACCGCATGCGCTTGTTCGTCATGCGTGAGGCAGGCCGCTGTTTGGCGCTGGCCGTGCGTCGCTGCGGCCCGTCATAAATCAGTCCTGCGGTCGGCACTCGCTGGCAGACCGCTCCGGCGTCTAGACTTAACCGTTCGATGACTGATAGGATGACTGTGCAGCGGTGTGCCGGCCGGCCGTGCTGGAAGCCCTTGTGCGGGACGGCCGTGTCGCTGACCACTGGCAGGTCACATTTGCACCAGGATGTGTTCCTGGCGTGGGCCGTCGTTCTTGGACGCCGCCCTCGCTGATTGGTTCTCTGTTTAGGGCCACTGTCGTCGGGTTGTCTCCTTGAATCTCCTCCCTCGGCGATCCTTGCTCTCCCTGAGGCGTGCCGGCGTAGGTACCCACCGGGGGAAGGGGGGGGGGGGAGAGGCGCCGCCGCGCCGCCGGCTGGACGGTTGTTATTGTTGACGTGTGGTGTACGGGGGCGGTGCCGGCCGCGGGCGGCGCGCCCTCTGGCGGCCCGACGGGGTGCCGAGCCGCGCTCGGCGCCGACTTGGGCACCTAGTCTTTCCCGCTGTCAGACCCACCCCTGTCGAAATCCGAGTGCAAAGCTGCGGACGGGTCGGCGCGGAGACGCGCGCGGCACGGCAGGCCCATATTTATTATGCCAACTGCGCGAGACAGAGCGTGCTGCCACCGTCCCGGCTCGACTCCGACTCGGGACGCACGAACACAGCGTGTCTGCAGCCGCCACTGCTACCGTGGCGCGACGGCTAAGCCAGTCAGCTGCTAGCAATATAGATTTGGCGCACTGGCCCGTGTCTACATCCGGGAGAGAGAGAGGACGCACTATCTTTTTAAGTGGATGTGACAGCTGTGGAGGCGCGGTAAGAAAGTTTGAAAGACCTAATTGGAAAGAGTGAGCTCCGCGAGAAGGCCACCAGGTCGTGGTACGCGCACGGCGCGTGCAGAATTTTGCCGTAGCGCGGGTGCGGGAGACACGAGTAAGCCTCCACTCATAGAACTGACCCGCGTCCTGGTTAGGCGGTCTCACCAAGCGCGGAACTTGCTCGATGCCTCGCCGATATGCATGCTTGACATGTATCTATGTGCGTACGTTGGTGCGTCCGTTGATCAGACATCGCCCCTGCCAGGGAAGCGCTTCTGAACTTCGCGATCGTAGTGGGGCCGCGCTTGGTTTTGGATCTGCGCGGCACTTGCATCGTTGCCGACATTCTGACAGATGCAAGACTTTACTTTCTGTCGATGGTCCCCAACCACGTTAGGTTAAGTAATATTGCGACAGCCAAGGCGAATAAAAGCACTCTGTAGGTGTGACGTAGGTCGTAGCCACGGGTCCAAGCCCTGTGAGTCAACAAGGGGGCGGAGCGCAGCAGGTATGAGGTATGTATGTCATCCCCATGTATGAGGTATCCCCATGTATGAGGTACCCTGATACCTGAAAACAAAACCCACTGGAGCACGGGGACGTTCGAGTGAGATAGAGACCCAGTATAGGCCGAAAAACGGAGAACTTACGGCTCAGAAAAGGCCTATCTCTCTTTTTGAGCCTGAACAGGACCCATCTTTGGTATGGAGTGGGCCAGTCGTAGGCTCAAAGTCAGCGGCGGTGAATCGGCAGGGCAAACTGTCCCCATGTATGAGGTAAGGGCCAAAGCCATTTCCCCCACCCCCCCCCCCCATACTTCAGGTGGCCCAGATGGGGGCCCCAAGCGGATTTATGGAAGAGATTCGTTTATTGTGTGACATCAAAGCGAGCGTAGAGAGCTCATTTCAGGTCCGGAAAGGTTCAGCTTCAAGGCAAGAAATCCTACAGCAGTTTCAGGCACGACGAAAACCTCCGGTCTGAAAGGGGTGCATTGTCAGGGTGTACAAAGGGTATTTTGCGGACTCAAAAGGGCCCGCTTCTGATCAGGACAGGCCCATCACCATCTCAGAAGGGGCTCGTCACGGGTCTGTGTGGAGCCCATCGTGAGCACAGAAAGAACTCTCTTAGGTCTGGAAAGAGCCCATGAGAGACTCAAGAAAGGCCCTTCCCAAACAATAAAATGACAAGTCTCAGACTGAGAAATTCGACATCTCAGGTCCGGAAAGGCCCATCTAAATACTTGAGCCCGAGAAAGCCTATCTCATATTCCACAAGCTTCATCTTACGCGAGAGCGGAGGCCGAACCTTTTGTAATAGGGGTTGGGGGCGGCACACAGCTGGATAAACGGCTCCCGGTGAAAAGGCACCCCGAAAATTAATCAGATTTGGCCCATTTTATTTCGAGAACCCCACCTTTCTCATGTCATAATGCCAACGATTTGCGCTGGTGGATGGACCCAGTGGATTAAACGCTAAGGAAATCCCTTACCTTTCACGGACAGGGAGTCCCGTAAGTAGAACAGTGGGGGGCTAGTCAAGGGTTGAAGGAAATTTCCGTTTCACTCCGCCACCCGGGGTAGTTACCGGCTACTATTCTGGAAACACGGTGGCCGGGGCGCCCTGTCGATCAGTAGGGCCGCGGAGGGACGCGTCACGCATCGGTCCTCTCCCTGACGCGGAAGGCCCTCAGACCGGAGCGGTGTTTCACCATCTCAGTTTGAATCCTTTCAGTGTCATGTATCCTGTCGCCTTTCATTATCAGCGGGCCCGGTCAACTCAAGAGTCTTCCTGACATTCGGAGTCACGTTCCTAACCCTATTCAGGAAACGGAACCACTGCCGACTCGGGGCCCTTGCCGACATAGGGTCTCCTGTTAGGCGCACTGTGGTCCCTCTGACCGACATAGTAGTCCCCCACTGTCTCAAGGACCCCGACCAATACAAAAAGTCCTCTGACTGGCAGTTGCGGGCCCCAGGATGGTCCCGGCTTTGGAAATGGGCCCTAGGCCGCCGCGGGGCAGGCTGTTCGAAATTCGTCGTGTTCGCGGATCGACTGGCTCACCCTCATTGCCCCCAGGGACCCCAATCGGCGCAAAAGACCCCGTAACGGACATTTGCGGGTCGGGACCCCTTAATGCAGCCTTTAATAAATTCTTCGGACCCTTAGTCGGACCCCTGACCGTCGTTCCCGAAGAGCCCTAAAGGGCCCGTCTGGACTAAAAGGGAGATATGTGTGCCCCGGTGCCCCCCCCCCCCCCCCCCCCTCGGCCTGCGCCCCGCTTTCAACTTATGATGGACGCGTCTCAGGTCTGAAAAGAGCCCATTCCCAGATCAGAAACGTTCATGTCAGTTTAGGCCTGGAAATGACCTATCTCCAATCCGAAGCGGCCAATCGTAGACTCAGAAATGGCCCGTTTTCAGTTCGCAAGGGGCTCATGGCACGTTAAGAAACGGCCCACTCAGGTCTGGAAAGAGCCATAGAAGACTCAAAAGGGCCCTTATTAATCAGGGGATCATCCATTTTTGGATAATAAAGTAAGCATTTCGTGTGCGGAAAAGGCACCTCTCATCTTTTAGGCCCCGGATGAGCCCACGTCCGGTTAAAATCAGACATAGTCCATGTTAGGTCCGGTAAGCGTCATTATTCAAGCCCAGAAAAAACGCAGGTCGGGTCCGGAAAGGATCAATTTTTGCTCTTAGGCCTGAGGACATTCTCTCCCAGGCCTGCAAAGACCTGGGAGGATATGATCTTAGGCTAGATCCATCTTAGGCTAGAATGGGGATGGGACCAGCTTAGGCCCAAAATGAACTTTCAATAGTCGGGAGAGGACCTATGTTGGCACACTCAACTGCAAGACACTCCGGTAGCACAGCCGGAGTTTTTTCCACTAACAATATTTCAATGATCTGGTTGTCTTTGGAGGCTCTAGAACCGGTTTTTGTTTCTGCTTTTGAAACAGTAGGGCGGGCAGAGGGGGGAGGTACAGGGGCACGTACCTTTACCCCGCTTAGGTTCCGAGGGGCCCTTTGGGCCCCCGGGACCTGGGATTAAGGGCCCGAAAGGCCGGCCGGAGGTCGTACTTGGTGGCCCCGGTCCTCAGGGCTGGGCACTCCAATGTCACCCAGAGGGCCCTGTGCGCTGATCAGGGGCCCTGAGTCGATAAGAGCCCTGCGGCGATCAGGGATGTTGCTGCGCCAGTGAGGGTTCCTGTGACGATCCGGGGTCAACTGCGGTCTGCGCGGGCCAGAAGTCCTCCCGCGTCAGGGAGGGGGCAATGTCATATGCTGTAACCCTTTAAGGGCCTCCGAATCTGCCGGGAGATCTCGCCTCGTGTCGCCCCGATGACTGCCGAAAGACACCTCGCGGTGGGACGGAATGGCCATTCAGCCCTTGACTGGGCACAATAATGTGCTCCTAGTGTTCTACTCAAGGATGGCCATTCATGGAAATAAACAATGGTTCTCATTAGTTTTGAAAAGAGCGGGTCAACATGAGTTCAAAGACGAACGAAGCCATCCCACGTTTGCCTGAGAGCGTTTACTCTGTAACGGAATCCACTGGTGAAACAAATTATCAAAAGGTTTCAGCCTGCGCGTTCGCAATCTTGGAAGCAAGGACAGCGATAGCCTGGGTTGCAGTTTCCGTAGAATCGAACGACGTTGGCCTATGCAGATAACACCAGGCGGCGGGCGCCGCGCGCGCGAGAGCGACCGCCGTGGAATGACACCTCTGAATGTCTTAGAAAGTTAATTCGCACCTTTCAAAGATTAGGTCAGGCGTATCTTTTTACACTTTTAAGGTTCCATGTCTTCCAGCTCCACCATCAGATTCCAGCGCCATGTCGCGGTCTTCTCCACTTCCACAACCTTCACTCCTCCACTTCTACAACCAGATTTCATCCACACTTCGTGGTGCTGTAGTGACAAATCCGTTCAATTCATTAACATAAAAATTGTGCGGGTGACCTATACACACGGCTTCCTTTTAAATGTTCAGTTCGAAATCCTAAAGCGTTCAGAGATGCTTCGCCAAATGTGTCATTATTTTCATCCGCCTATTGACCACGGCTTAGTGTTGGCTGTGGGAACAACGCTGCGCAATCTGTTGAGACTTCAACACCTGGCATTGATGTTTTGTTTTTTTTGCTAAGGCTTGCGAGCGCGCATGCTCAACACTGCGCTACATAATTTGTATCACTTATCAATTCTGACTGAATGTCGAACATTTCCAGAAAAATATGGCTTGGCCATGCTACTAAGAACTGTCAACGCATTTCAATCTAAATTCGTGGGGTCTTTAGTATTTCCGCACGGCCCAGCTGAGATTCTTAAAAGCCTATAAGTTCTATTGGTTAAGATAGAGAAGTCCACTGGATCATTGTAAAAATAAGAGCGCCGGCGCTTTATTTAATGTAGTCGTTGAATGCATGGTTTCTTCAGTTGATTGACTGAAAAATTCAGACAGAATTGATCTCGCGTTAGCTTCTTTTCCAGGTATAGATGTGACACGCGGCGTATTCATCCTCCACGGGCCACATGCAGTTTTTTCAATGTGCGAGTAAGGCTTTTGCTTATTGCGTTTGGCCCGAGTGCCCGTTCCGGACATGCGCGCTAGGACGATCAATAAGGGACGGCCCGTTAAAAACACCGGCATCCTCGGAGTACGGGGGTTGGGGCACGTTCAAAGAGTACATGGAAAGGTTCAGACATTGAGACAGGCACGGTGCGGGAGGCCCTGTCGGCCTGACGCGCTGACGGCTGGATCCACCCCGCATTCACCATTCGCATTTTGCGCATTCACCTCGGCAAACTGGAAGCCCGACGGAGGAATCGCCGACCTTTCGGCGATTTTTAGATTCCCGGCCCCTTTTTTCTTTTCTCTTTTTACCTAATTGAGAATATGCGTTTTGTAGGTCTTTTTGGGAT